AGTTTTTACATTTCCGTCTTCTCCTAAGTTTTTGTCATTTTTTAACGAATTTTGCACGTGGAGTGTGGGTACTCTTTCTTGCAACAGGTCTTTGCGAAAGTTTTACACACTTTCTTTTTCTTTTGTAAGTATTATGACGTGGTTAAACTTACTTGATGACGAAGTTCTTGTAATAAAATTGAAATTCATGTTGTAAATGTAGAATCAAAATCTGTATTCAGAATACATATTCATTGATTAATATGATACATTAATTTATACACAATTATCACATGTGTTAGTAATTACAATTAGGTACAGGTACAAATATAGTGATCACAGAATTTATGAGTCTTGGCATCTTTTTACGTACACAATATATTCAAAACTTCAGACTTAAATATTTTTCATCCCCCAAAATTGTACGCAATTAATAAACGTCAGGTAATTCTGCAGTAAAAGAGTATCTTCTTTGAGTTATCTACATTGTTGACCTACATCGACGCGGAGCATGGATTCAAACCATTTTTCTGCGCCATGTTTCTTATATAATATATCCCCGCTCATTATTTTATGGACACACGGCCGAAATTGCCGACTATACATTATTTCACAGGTCTCTTGATCGAGTGCGAAAAAGTTGGCGATAAGAGTAACAAACTGCTCCGTGTTCCACATCACCGTTCCCTCGAATTCTCCTGATAAACTTCCGCGTTGCCCACGAAACGCGAGAACTTTCCGAATATTTTCCCTCTTGTAATTTCCTTCTCGGATCTTGCCGCGTGTCGACCGAATGTTTCCAACTTCCAAAGCATTCTTCTTCTCCTTAACGTTTTCGAGGAAAATACAATTGCACTTTCGTGAGCATTACTGCAGGAAACCTGAAAAACTTCGCCAGTTTTAGCAACGTTTAACCTCGTTGTTGCTTCCGATATCGGATCATTCTTGTCTACACATTTTGCTTTCATTTTGGGAACTTGAGATTTTTGGGGAAACTTGTATTGTTATGTAGTTATTACATATAGTTGTTTTCACTATTATAAATGATGTGATATCATCAGTTATTTGTTTGCATATACATATCTCTAATTCTCACATGTTCACATATCTACATCGAAAACTCTGAAATGTCCAAATCTCCACATTTTTAATTCTCAAATCACCGCATCTCTGTAACCCCAGTTCTCACATGTCCATATCCACAATTCTCACATGTCCACATCTCCATATCCCCAATTCTCACATGTCCATATGTCTGCATCCTAAACTCTCAAATATCCAAATCTCTACATTCCCAATTCTCAAATCACCACATGCCCATAACCCTAATTCTCACATGTCCACATCCCCATAACCCCAATTCTCACATGTCCACATCTCCACATCCCAAATTCTCATATGTCCACATCTCCACATCCCAAACTCTCACATGTCCACATCTCCACATCTTAAACTCTCAAATCTCCAAATCTCCACATCCCCAATTCTCAAACCATCACATCCCTGTAACCCCAATTCTCACATGTCCACATCTCCATATCCCCAATTCTCACATATCCATATCTCCACATCCCAAATTCTCACATGTCCACATCTCCACATCTTAAACTCTCAAATGTCCAAATCTCCATATCCCCAATTCTCAAATCACCACATCCCCCTAACCCCAATTCTCACACGTCCACATCTCTACATCCCAAATTCTCACACGTTCACATCTCCACATCTTAAACTCTCAAATGTCCAAATCTCCATATCCCCAATTCTCAAATCACCACATCCCCCTAACCCCAATTCTCACACGTCCACATCTCTACATCCCAAATTCTCACATGTCCACATCTCCACATCCCAAACTCTCAAATCCCCAAATCTGCAAATCCCTCCATCTTCATAACCCCACTTCTCAAATGTCCAAATCTATACATCCCCAATTCTCAAATCCCCAATTTCCACAACACTGTTACCTAAGTTATCTCCCACAAAAAATGCTAGTTACATCCCTGCACCCAGAGTCCGCTTGATAAATCATTTACCGCGCGAATGACGATGTTTGCTGATTAATTGTTTGCGCTCGACAAGCAATCTCGTCGGATTACCCGTTTAATGACATGCATGGAATTATGCACTCTAGTATAACATTTTTTAAACATCACGAAAATTCGGCAAACTAATATCGATCGAGGAAATTTATGAACCCTGTAATGAACTTCCTAACGAAGATGAATGCAGCGGATAAAATTTTCTCCCGTTTTAAAAGTGAAATACTTTTGATTGCCCGGAGTAAATTACATCGGGTTTCTAATTAAAGTACTCGGGAAATTTTACAGTCATGTTCGATCGAAATTTACAGCGTCTAATTTTTTCGTAGTTAAGTATCTCCTCGTGTTTCAAAATTTATTAGGAGATTTTAATGGAAAGCTACGAAGTGTTCGTTAACTAGCTACATCGTATTTTGTGCGGATTTTATGAACTATGTTGGAACATACTATTTACTGCTTCAGGGGTTTAATCGCTTTAGCGAGTTCAAAATTGTACGTCTACAAGAACTTACTTGTACGCTGCAACAGTATTTCTACATTACGAAAATATGGACTCCCACGAAAATTTTAGTTGGAAAGATATGTTAAAATTTTCTTTCGCGGAATTATTTTAGGGAATGATCACGTGTGTATGGGTACTGTTGAAACAGATATGGAGATGTGGACATGTAAGAATTGGGGATGTAGAGATGTGGACATGTGAGAATTGGGGATATGGAGATGTGGACATGTGAGAATTGGGGATATGGAGATGTGGACATGTGAGAATTGGGGTTATGGGAATGTGGTGATTTGAGAATTCGGGAAGTAGAGATTTGGACATTTGAGAGTTTGGGATGTGGAGATGTGGACATGTGAGAATTGGGGATATGGAGATGTGGACATGTGAGAATTGGGGATATGGAGATGTGGTGATTTGAGAATTAAGGATGTATAGATTTGGACATTTGAGAGTTTTGGATGTAACGATGTGGACATGTGAGAGTTGGAGATGTGAAGATTTGGTCATATGAGAATTTGGAATATGGTAACACAGAAAATTGACAGATGAGTATGTAGATGTCTGCAAACTTCAGAATTTTGAAAACTTAAAAATGGAAACTTTGTACATTTGAAAATTGATTATCATCAATATTATACATAAAAAATCTGAGAACTGAGGCTTACAATTTCAGTGCAAATAAAATATTAAATATCTAAAAAGAAATTACGCAATCTTTAGAAACGTGAAAATAACCTTGACATCTCCCAAACCAAAAATCCTCTCCATTCCCAAAAGTTACGTCCCTGCGCCAGCTCTCGCTTTTTCCCCGCAATGAAATCCAATAATCCACGCGTTTCAGATCAAACGAAATCGTTCAGTGAATAAATCTTTCAAAAACATTCGTCGAAACAGACTTCGCGTCTGGTTTTTTTCATTCAGCCATTTCCACGACCTTTATTTTCGGCGCTTTGGATTCGGTAAATTCAAGACTCGTCAGCCCGCGAGAGATCTCGTCAACGAGATATCCGTTTCGCCTTCGTATGAAAAATCTCGCGTTCGCGATATTTTCTATCAAATGGAGCGAATCTCTTTGGATGATCTCTGAAGACCGTGACGGAAACTAGGGATCCCTTTCCAGGAGAAGGACCTCGCGAAGTTTCTCAAATCGAGCGAAAAAGAGAGAAAAGAGGTGGCTGCTGATGAAATATGCAGCACGATCGTTGGGTGTCAAAGAGGAAATGGCGAAACACTCGTGGAGATACGAGCTAGAGAGTTGTTCCACGAACTACAAGTTTTCTCGGTTTATAGAATACTTTACATTCAGAAGTCTGACTCTTTTAAAGATACGCTTGCTTTTTTCATAAGGCACACGTGTATCTTTTTGTTTCAGAGATACACAAATTCTATTTTACCAATGAATACTTTGGGCTCAACTTGAAAATTTCGTTTCGTGGAGAACACGAAAATTAATACAATGGTGGAAAAATAAAAATTAAATGTATCTTTTGTACTGTAAAATTTTAAGTATGTTTAATGAACTCAGATAATATATGTTCAACTAGCATATTTACGATGTATATACATATGTAGCGTATGTAGTATATGTATAGTATAAATATGTAGCATATGTAGCAAAGAATACATATGTAGCATATGTGGCATTGTATACATATGTAACATATGTGGCATTGTATACAGATGTAGCATATGTGGCATTACATACATATGTAACATATGTAACATAGTATATATATGTAACATATGTGGCATTGTATACAGATGTAACATATGTGGCATTGCATACATATGTAGCATATGTAGCAAAGTATACATATGTAGCATATGTGACATTGTAGACATATGTAGCATATGTTGCATTGTATACATATGTAGCATATGTGACATTGTATACATATGTAGCATATGTGGCATTGTACACATATGTAACATATGTAGCAAAGTATACATACGTAGCATATGTGACATTGTAGACATATGTAGCATATGTGGCATTGTATACATATGTAGCATATGTGACATTGTATACATATGTAGCATATGTGGCATTGCATACATATGTAACATACGTAGCATAGTATATATATGTAGCATATGTGGCATTGCATACATATGTAGCATATGTTGCATAGTATATATGTGTAGCATATGTGGCATTGTATACATATGTAGCATATGTGGCATTGTATACACATGTATCATATGTGGCATTGCATACATATGTAATATATGTAGCATAGTCCACATATGTAACATATGTACTACGTCATACTAATACACACATTTATCAGTCCACATAAAAAATCCCAAGAATGAAGTGCTTCATGAAGTGACCCTACCTTTACAACCTCTCATATCCTCGCAACGAGACATTGTAAACTTTAACCAGAAAAGTTTGCTCTCAATTTTGACGAGACCCGAAACATTTCCCTAGATAAGAAAAGCTTTTTCTGACTACGAAATCCTTCTGTCCACAGGTGACGACTTTCAGCGTTCAACAACTGGGCGTTCGTCCTGCGGGAGATAGAAACCAGAAGTAAGGATGGCCTTTCACTGGGATAAGCTCTCACCGGCGGAATTTCAACAGCTCCAGGACTTGGCAGCTTGTAAGTAAAAAGTGAACCACCGGCCATTGTAACTTCCATAGTGTTGGCTTTCAATGAAAGTCGATCGGGAACAAGCGCCCGAAAGAGATAAACTATCGGACATCGATGATTCGATATAGCGTCTTTAACCTAGAAAATGTTAACCCTTTGTGGTGCCTTTTTTTCTGGTACGAAATATATTTTTTACTGTGGGGAATAAAAGTGATGGGGGTACCAGACTGCAATCCCTAAATTACCAAAGTTCGCAAAATGGTGTTTGCTTCTCGACAAAAATGAACTCGATGACGTAATTTGCACGAAATACGAAAGAAAATTAATAGCAGCAGAATCCTCCTAATTACTAGGTACCTCGTTTATCACCGTTACGGACAATAAGGTTTACCGGACTTAATTAATGATCCCGATACTCGAATCGATTCGAAGACACCGTTGCATAACACCGTCGGATAACGAGACAGTGTATTCGAAAGTCTTGTACTTTTTTCCACGATTTTAATACACCCCCGTGACTAATAGGATAGAGATCTCGGTGGAAAGCCATGAAACGGCGTGCTCATTGTTTATGGAGTTATGTAAATTCGAGTGACGTCGTTGTGTCGTTCCAGAGAGAGAGGGCAGATTTATTCTGGTCGCAAACGCGTGACTGTATCTCGTATAAACCACGAAATTTCGAAAATGTCCTTCCATTACGTAATTCCGTGCACGTATATATATTACCCGCATCGCCACTTCGTTAATACCGACGACAGAGACTTTCCTTCGATACCTAACCATAAATCTATCGATGCCTCCGAACCGCCTTTAAGTAGAATGCATTAAACTGTGTCTGACTATAGCTGTACTCGTTCTACTGCAAGGTCCAATAGATTCGACGAAATTAATTATACATTGATTACGTGATTACTTAGCTTTCTGATCCCTCATTGATCTCTCATTAAGAGGGGTTCCATGGAAAAATTCACCCTTGAATAGCATAATCCAAAATTTGACTACCTTAATCATAATTCTGTTTTAAAACTTGCAACCACACAAAATCTTCTGTATTCAACAATATACCCTTTGCAATTTCCTCGAAACCCAAGACATTTCCGAGTGTAAATTCGCAGCGATCAGAATCGTTCTATTTCTGTAAGGTTGAGAATGATAGAAAAAATTGAGAGTCGATAATCCGTGATCTCGAGAGCAGGAAAATCGTCACGTGCTACCACGAACTACCACGCGTAGAATTACCACGCGTTGAAATACCACGCGCAGGGATTACCACATGTAGAACTACCACGTGTAGAATTACCACGAGTAAAACTACCACGCGTAGAACTACCACGCGCAGGGATTACCACGCGTAGAATTACCACGCGTAGAACTTCTACGCGCAGGGATTACCACGCGTAGAATTACCATGCACAGGGATTACCACGCGTAGAATTACCATGCACAGGGATTACCACGCGTAGAACTACCACGCGTAGAATTACCACGCGTAGAATTACCTCGAGTAGAATTACCACGAGTAGAATTACCACGCGTAGAATTACCACGCGTAGAATTACCACGCGTTGGATTACCCTACTACGCGCAGGGATTACCACGCGTAGAATTACCACGCGTAGAATTACTACACGTTACATTACTACGCGTTGGATTACCACACGTTGCATTACTACCGCGTAGAATTACCACGCGTTGAATTACCACTCGCTGAATTACCACGCGTGGAGTTACCACGCATGGCATTACTACGCATAGAATTACCACGTGTGGAATTACTACGCGTAGAATTACCACGCGCAGAATTACCACGCGTAGAATTACCACGCGCAGGATTACCACGCGTAGAATTACCACGCGCAGAGATTACTACGCGTAGAATTACCACGCGTAGAATTACCACGCGTAGAATTACCACGCGTTGGATTACCACACGTTGCATTACTAC